CCTCCAAAGTGCCCTGAGTGCTTTCAGCCTGGTCTGGACTACAGCAATAGAGAGGAAGAGAGAGACCAGGTAAAGCTGGAAAGGCAGCCAGACTTGAAGCCCCCTTCTGTGGGCCTTTATCCGAAGGACAATGAGAAGCTAATGGGTTTTGAGTGTGTATGTGTGTGATGAACAGATTTGCATTTTGAAAAGATCACTCTAGTTGCAGCATGGAAAACTGATTAGAGGGGCATCAGAATGGAAGGGGGGTTTGGTTTTAGGCAGAAGATCATGAGTTTGGTCTTGGACTATTGAGTTTGATGTGCTTTGCAAGCACCCTAGTGGAGCCGTCAGGTAGGCGGAAAGCTCAGACAAATTGCACATATAAAACTTAGTTTGCAGTTGTCATAATATCCAAGCATTGGCCACAGGGCATGTAGCAACTTAATCTATGGGTCAACAGGGAAGGAAAGAGAAAGAAACTAACTCCAGGCAGGGTAGAGAGTAGTGGAATCTGCCTCCGTGGTAAGGCAGGCTCTTAAGCATAAGCTCAGCATGGGGAGACTCCAGGCAAAGTGATGGTCATGGTAAGGTTAGTGTCGACACAGTTCATCTCCTGCTGCAGGTGATGGTGGCCCTGTGGACACTTTAGTGATGATCCAGGCCAAGACCTATGGCGTGGTTGGGTACTGACATAGAGTTCAGTTTATCTGGAAAAAGGACTGGCATAAGATGGATAAATTGGAAGGTCTTAGAACAGAGATTTAGGGGCAAGGTGACAGTTCCAGAAAAGGCTGTTGTTGTTTAGTCATTAAGTTATGACTGACTCTTGCGACCCCACGGACTGTAACCTGCCAGGCTACGCTGTCTGTGGGATTTTTCCAGGCAAGAATATTGGAGTGGGTAGCCATTTCCTTCTCCAGAGAATCTTCCTTACCCAGGGATTGATTCCTGCATTGCAGATTCTTTACCACTGAGCCACCTGAGGATCAGAGTGTAAATTTAGAAGTGGACAGAATCCAGCCATGCTTGCTGGGAGGACAAAGTGAGCACTAGCGGGAATGATGAAGTTCATTGGGCTTTAGAAGCCTCATGGGTTTAGCTTTGGGACCACTGGGTACCTGGCTTAATGAAACGAGATCAGTTATCTCCTCTCAACTGCAGGTGGAGTTGGTTCCCTAATAAACAACTGGGCTTGGTCCAGACAGGGTTAGGGACAGGGCAGGTCTGAGTCTGCCAGTTGAATATTTTCAGTATCTCTAGGTAGGCAGGGCTGGAGATGGCAGAAGCTCACGGGGATAAGATCAGGAGCTTTGCGAATATAAACCTATCAATTATGATAAACACTGTTTCCTCTCTCTTTCGGGTTAGTTGCCAGGTATTCTAGTGGCCTTATCAATTCTGTGTGGAGGAGCAATTCCTTACTAGCCTGGGAGAAATGTTGCATGGGTTAAAAAAAAGTTGGGGTCGACTAGTCCAGAAAAGAGAAGACCAGGATGTAGAATCTCCTTCTCAGCTGGCAGGAATTAAACTAAACATATTCTTATTAATAATAATGTCAGGCACTCTTCTAAACAATTTATGTGGATCAACTAATTTAATTAACTCAATAACCTCACAATACCTCTGGGAGGTCGGCTATCATTCACCACACTCTACAGATAAGGAAACTGACACACAGCTGAGAGGTTAAGCTTCCTGCCCAAGGTCCCATAACTAGTAAGTGTTCTGACCAAGAGTCAAATCCAGATAGTCTATTCCGGACCTTCATGCTTAATGTTTACATCATATTGAACATGATGAGAAAATCACTGAGTCCTCAAGGGCTGTTTCATAGAAGTGGCTTAAAAAATGCTTGAAATTCTGGAGCCTAGAATTCAGTGGGATCATTCCTGACTTCCTTTCTTCCTAGAAAGCCATGTAGACCAGGTAAGGGATAGCTGAAGATGGGGGACGGCTGGAATAATTATTCTGACATCTAAGAAGTGAGTTTCTAAGGGGATCTAAACTGGAGAAGGGTGGCAGAGTAGGGGGTGAGTGTGGCCATGAAATTAGGGCTCCCTGGGACAAATCTCACAGCAGATCTTGGAAGCACGGCAGTTTCTATTTCTGAATCTCCATCCATGCTAGTCCCCAAGAAACAGATGTGGCCATGGTATCTGCATTGATTGCTCAGAAGCTATCTGTTGGTGGTGTTCCACTCATCTCTTAAAATAACAGCCTTGGACCTGTAGCACTGCGTCTACTCTTTTCAGAAACCTCTCCCCATAGTGGGCCACAGAATACTGACATTTGTCGCGAGCTGTTTGGAGTGAATGAATGAACTAGTTGGTGCAAAGTCCTGTGTTGTAACTCCCACACAGTTTACAGGTTTTCTCCTCTGGCCAGTCCCCTGGGCAGACAGCCTCCAGGTATAGCTCAGCTGATGGATCTTTCTTTGTGCCCAATCCCTGTGTTTCCCAAACACTTACCTTCCTCGAGAAACCTAGCCACAGCAGCATTGGTGATCGAGAACAAACAGGCCTGCAATCAAGGCAAACATAAGATCTGAGAGAGGAGTCAATTTCTGCGAGGCCCTGTTGAGGAACTGAGTCTGTTGTTTGTGAGGGCTTTTGCTCAGGTGGTATTTCTTTTTATTTTGAATTTTCTCCCTTGTTAGAAGGTTGGAATGGAAGGTGTATTGAAAGCACCTGGCTAGACCCAACCCTCATTTTCCTTATGAAATATACTTGCCCATGAAACATCATGTTTCAAAGGACAGATGAGATCTGCCTGGCTACTGTGAAGCCCTTTAGTGAAGTCAAGATCAAGAAGTCCAGAATAGAAAACAAGAATATGGTCACTCGCTGATAATCTTAATCGAGTTGGAAATCTCAGACTGTGATGGGAACCTGGATGATCATTCTCTTCCAAACTCCCATTTCCATTTGTCCTTCACCTTCTCTTTTAGATGATAGACTCCATCAAAGATGAAGAATGATGAGCTGGGATTACATATCATTTGGGATACAGCTGAAGAGTTTGATGCTGCCAATTTCATCTCTACTGCCAATAAAAATCAAAGGAAATCCCTTGGGATAGGAAGGAATTCATTCGTCCCTTACATGAACAAAACACTGTGGAGAAAGTGAAGAAAAGAACTCTGAGAAGATCCACTCTGGAGGGGCCCCATAAGTAGCATCGGAAATATTTCTCTGAGCGTCTCCCTTTTGTCCCTGTCAGGCCCAACACACGGTGGTCCATTTGGGCTCAAGAAAGAAACAAAGAGAATTCTACTTCCTCTTCTAAGTCCTTTATGAGAGAAAGGCTCTGCATTTTTTAAAAAGGACATATTCTAAAACTGAAAGACGCTAAAAGGGAAATGAAAAAAATACAAAAATGCACAGTGGATGAGATGGCTGGATGGTATCATCAACTCAGTGAACATGAGTTTGAGCAAACTTCGGGAAATAGTGAAAGACAGGGAAGCCTGGCGTGCTGCAGTCCATGGGGTTGCAAAGAGTCGGACATGACTGAGCGCTTTAACAGCAACAACAAAAATGCACAGTGTATGCAGACTTCCCTGATGGCTCAGCAGGTAAAGAATTTGCCTGCCCTGCAGGAGACACAGGAGGTTTGGGTTCAATCTCTGGGTCAGGATGATCCCCTGCAGGAGGAAAATGGCAACCCACTCCAGTATTCTCGCCTGAAAAATCCCATGGACAGAGGAGCCTGGCAGGCTACAGTCCATAGGGTTGCAAAGAGTCGGACATGACTGAGTGACTGATGCACCCATGCAGGCTTAAAATACAAGCATTTGTGCAATAAATCATACTTGTTACTAGGCAGGAACGTCCAGCTTCACTCCATACCCAATTTTAGGAGTCTCTCTTTTTCGGTATTAGAGCCATTTCCCCTCCCGTTCTGGGATGATGTTCTAGTTAGGTCAGTGTCTGGAAAGCTCTCATAACTAAAAGTGGGAAAGTGACCTGTCAGTCCTTCTCCAAGGAATAGGGCACCCCTTAACTTCCTCTAGGGCCCCACTTACACGGAGCAGATGTGAACAGTCTGGACACACCATCTGCTAACCACAGGAAAGGGCCAAAGCGCTCCTTTTTTTCCTAGGGACCCTCCACAAATTCCAGCCAAGTGTCCACAGCACTGTGGACCACACAAGAGCAAGTCCCAGCTCACGCCAGCAGTTCTGTTTATTTCAGCACCTCCTTTTCTGCAGGCATCAGGTACACTGCAGACAGGGAAACTGGGTTTCAGAAATAGCACCTGTCAGAGAGCGGCAGGCACCGCCTCCCACCCCCGTCACCACCAAATGGTCTTAATTAACTTTGGACACTTCCTCGCCTCACACTTTATTTCTGAATGTTATTGAAAGTTGTCAGAACTTGTCTCACTCTTTTCTTTTATTATTAACGTGTAAATACAATGCCTCAGGAGTGTTACTAAAACACAGAATCTAATCCCAGGAGATTAATTTATGAACGCAGCATAGGGTGAAGTTGCATCCTGGTGACTGCAAATTGATGTTGGTAAGAGCCACAAGCATCGGCCTCTCTAAACCCACGGGGATCCAGAGGGCCAAGGTGGCTGGAGGCAAGCAGGGACAAGGGGAGGGCTGGGCTCTGCTGATTGTTGAGACAGCCCGAGGACACATGACCTTAGTTTACTCCTGGCAGGGAAGAGAGGAGTAAGGTCATCTTTTTCTCTCGATGGGACAGTGCCCCCCTTGCAAGTCTGTCCATCTATTAGCCAAGTCCATGGGCATTTATTGAGTGCTTATGCTACAGCAGGGAAGTGTTTAAGCTTCCCTGGTGGCTCAGAGGGTAAAGCGTCTGCCTGCAAGGCAGGAGACCTGGGTTCGATCCCTGGGCTGGGAAGATTCCCTGGAGAAGGAAATGGCAACCCACTCCGGTTCTCTTGCCTGGGAAATCCCATGGACAGAGAAACCTGGTGCTGGCTACAGTTCATGGGGTCGCAAAGAGTTGGACACTACTGAGCGACTTTACTTTCCTTTCACTTTACGCTACATCAATCTAAGTTCAGCTTCATGGGAATCAAAACAAGCAAAGCAGTAGTAACTGCTTGTGAGGACCTTATCTTTCCCCGGGGGAGTCAAACACAGGCACTTGAAACTCCTGGAGAACAAGGAGTTCTTGTTCTCCAAGCAAGCATGGCCTTGGGTGCAGCTGACCCTCAGTGCGCAGGTGAGGGGAGTCCCTGCGGACTGCAGTGACCAGGTAAGTCCTCCAGGCCGGGGAGCTGCTGGGGTGGGATGGACCGACTCCAAGCATAAGGTAGTGTCCTTAAAGATGGGTGCCCCGGGGCCTTCCTCAAGAGCGGGGAGACCTGGCTAATATTGCTGTGGTGCCTTTATTTCTTCAGAGCAGCTGAGGCCAGGCAATCTGGTGGGAAGGTGGAAAGAGGCGTTTAGGTAGAAGCTGTGCTTAACACAAGCTTGAGAAAGCATCTATCTGTCCTTGTCAAGAACCGTGTGGGACATCACTGATCTGCACCCCCTGGGAACTCTGAGCACGGACGCCAGCCTTCGGAATTAGGGGCACAAGAGGCCATAGCTGCCCATAGCCAAGGGGAGGAGCAGGACGCAGGGGGTCCAACAAGGTTAGCGAGCTGGGAGCCGGGAGAGAGGAGAGTGGCCTTCCGTTCTGGGCTGCCGATAATCGGCTGTCTTTTCAGAGACTGGGAGCAGATGGGGATGCCGGACTAGACGCGGGAGTTAGTTCCTGTCCCCTCCCGAGGATGCCGAGGGACCTCCCTCCGGTTTCCCTTGCCCCTTTCCCCAGCTCGCTTCCCACCTGCTCTTTGGGCTTCGACTCGCTGCTGCGGCTGCTCCCTGCTCCTCCCGGGAGCCGATCTGTATGTGTGACGGCAGGATGGGGCGCAGACCCCGAGGGGAGGCCTGAGGTCGCGCGGGGCTCCCCCTCCCAGAGCGGAGGCGGGGGCAGAAGGCGGGTGAAGGGAGCAGATGGTCTGGGCGCGCGGGGTGGCAAGGGGCTCTCCGCGCACCTTCCTGGTCGCGGCGCCGGGACGGATGCGGCGTCCGCCGGGCGCTCGCTACAGCAAGAGGCAGCCGGGGACCGCGGCCGCGGCAGGAGCTGCCCCGGGAGCCGGCGGATGGGCCCGCACACCTGTCCGAGAGCCGTCAGTGTCCGCGAGCTGACCAAGGCCCCCGGGACTCCTTGCGGGGCGCGGCGAGCTGCCCGAGCCGCGGCCGGTGATTAGAAGCGCCGGCGGATCCGCCTGCTGGTTCGAGAGGAACAGACTCGCCGCGGCTGCTCGCCCGGTTCGCGCCGGCGCCCGTTCTCCCCTTTCCCTCTGCGGCGCTTCTCTCCCTCCTTCGGGGAGGTCCTCGGGGACAGCGGCGCCCAGGCAGCCCCTCCTCGCTACCCACCCGGCCCGTTACCACCTTTCCTGCCCACACCCCCTCCCAGGGCTGCTCCGGGCCTTTGCGGAGACGTGCTGGGGGTCCTCACAAGGACCCACCAGGCAAGGACTGGCGTGGCGGTGGGTGTCGAGGGATGGGGGCCTTGCGGCCTGTCAAAGGAGACCCCCCTTCCTTTTAGAAATCGGGCACCCAGAGAAACCAGAGCTTGGTCCTGTGCTTGAGCAAATGGTAAATTTCAATCTCAGTTTCCATCCTTGCCCTGGGACTTTTGGCTGTGTGTGTGTGTGTGTGTGTGTGTGTGTGTGTGTGTGGTCTCTCAAAGGGGACGGGAACTGCTCAGATTCCGTGCTCCCTGTGTTCCCAAGCAGGTAGAAACAGACTGCAGTATTTTTGCCTGGAGAATCCTATGGACAGAGGAGCCTGGCAGGCTACCCTGCATAGGGTCACAAAGATCGTGCACAGCTGAAGCCACTTAGCACCCATGCACAGGGCCTCAGGGCTTAGGAGAAAGGGTAGACTGTGTCTTGTCTCTCCTCTCACCACTGGGCACCCTACTTCACGGCACCGCCACCATGCGTAGAATCTATAGCCCAAATCACTGGCTGGACAAAGGGCTGACTGAGCCTGGCGCCCCACCCCTTCACCCTGGGGCTGGTCAGAATGGCGGGAGGCAGGGGAATGAGGAGGTAGGATGCTGTGCCCATGTGGGTGCTGAGAAAACATGCAAGGGGTCAGCCCCATAGACTAGGTGGAGTCCGGGGTCCAGTGGTTGCTGGGGAACTGAGATTCAGAGCAGCAAACCATCAACATCAGCTGGGAGACAGAGGTGGTGGCCTCCGCAGCTCAGTCCCATTAGCTGGGCTGGTGGGAGGCGGCCGGCGCGTTTGAGGGCTCAGACACGCCCGGCGATTGAAGGGTCGGCCTTTGGAGCTGCTGCCAGGCTAATCTCAGGCCGGCAGCCTGTGCTTTTCCTTTAGTTTCAGCCCACTTGCTGGCTCTGCCCTGCAGAGGAGGCCCCCACCTCCTCCTGGGGCTGCAGATTAACCCCTAAAAACTGAGTTTTGTTTGCAGAGCTTTCTCTAAAGCCGAGGGAGCCTCTGGAGCCTCCTGTTTTTGCTCCTTGTTGACTAGGGGGATCCGTGAGGTCAGATGCTGCTGGCAGTGGCTCAGTCCCTGGCCCTGGACACACACTCAGCCTGGGAGTCTGCCAGGAAGCCTTTCTGACACGGGCCAGCCTGTCAGTCCTGTCTTCCCCAGCCCCGCAGGGCGCAGTCACCCAGGCCTTCTCCTAAGGTGCATCATGCCTTAACTGGGCTTGGGGTGGGGGGGAGTGGGGGCCGGGTACCAGCATCTCCATCTTACCGGCAGGGGCACTGCTGTGCTCAGATGTCTGCCCACAGGCCCAGGATCCAGTTCACTGGGGAACAAACACCCTTCCCTTGATTGTTACTAAATTGTCTGATTCATGCCACTGGGATTCTGTTTACTTTCCCTCTCAGCTCTCCTGCCCCAGAGCTTCAGTCTCACCCAACAGGTGCTGGGACTGACCTCCTCTCTGACCCTTTGCCACCCCCATCCCAGGGAGCTGAGCCTGTTCCTCTCGGCTTCCTGACGCCACTGGGGTCCTGTTCTGACCAGGATGACCACCCAAACCCATAGCCGTGTTATCCATCTGCCTTTGAGGGTTTCTACTGCCAGCTCCTCACTAATCATTTGGCCTCCCCCTTCCACATGGATCCCAACCTGATCACTAATCAAGTCACACCCCCCCACCTCACCCACTTTCCCATTAGCTCAGTTTACGTCCTGTAGCCTGTTGGGTTCCTTGCACCCTCTGTGTCTGCTCCAGCTGGACAGAGAGCAGGAATGACAGTGAGTCCTACTGCCTATTCTGTTTCCGTGGTTTGTGTGTTCCTCCAGCTCTGTAACCCCTCACCTGGAAGGGTACCTGCCTTTTCTGTAGCTCTGACCACGAAGCCCTTCTTGAGATTCTGGGGGTGATGGTGAGTGAGATCTGGGGTAGCTACACCACTTACCAGGGCGGTTTCTTTGTGCCGGATGCTGTTCCAGGTACCAAGGATAGAGAAAATGGAAAGATAAGATCCTGTCTGCTCCCAGAGAGTTTTCTCTGTAGTGGGGAATCTAGAAAACCATCTGAGCTACAGCATGAGAGAAACTGTAGTAGAAGCACCTTCTAGCAGAAAAGGGGGCTTCAGGGTGCATTTTGCCTTGAGTTCACTGGGGCCTTTAGTCTCTATGAGTCTCCCCCCACACAGAGGCAATGATCGGGGAGGGAAAAGAGAAGTGAGCCAGACACTGGGAGCCAGTGTGGGTCTGGAATCGTCTCCTATGTGAGTGGATGTCCCCTTATGCTCTTGGTGCTGTGAGGGGTATGGAGGTGAATAAGACCTAATCCTTTATCTCGAGAGGCTCTGTTGCGATGGAGCAGAGAGATGCTTAGAGTAAGAATAGAAGGCAGATTGAGAAAAGTGCCATGAAGGGTGCAATCAATATATTACTAGTATATGGAGAAGGAGATTCTTTGCTGAATAATTTTTTTTTCAGGGGGAGGGGGAGAACCTCATGAAGCTCTCCTTTAGTACACATTTCTATCAAATAATCCTTTTCTTGCACACAGAGCAGGATGGAAAATTATTATTTGCAGTGAATAATTCTATATTTGGACCTCTCATGTCCTCCCTGCCTGCTTCTTCTTTTTTTTTTTTTTTTGGTAATGATATAAATTTCCTTTGGGAAAACATCTTTTATGCAACTCCCAGTGCTTTGACATAGGTAGGGCTCCCTCCCACCTCCATTCTTTCCCTCCAGGTGGAGTTTACCGGTGATCACATTGCAAGTCCAAGGGCATGGTGATTGGCTCAGGAATGACTTAACTCACATGACGTGTGTCCCGCTCAGGACTCAGGTGGGTCCTTGGGGGGAAGAACAGCTCCTGCTCTGTTGGGCTTGGGATCCTGAGGGTGCCATTCTGAAGCAGCTGCTGCCATCTTGCTGCCACCAGGTCTTGCATGACATGGAACGAGGACAGAGGAAGGGACTATTGAGTGAGAAACTCTGTCCTGGGGACAGCCCCCAAGTGCCCCTCTGTGTATCTGAAGCCAGGCTCAGCTCTGGGCTTGTCAGGTACACCACCCAATACATTCCCTCTTTGTTTAGGCACTTTGGTTGGGGATTTGATCCTTTGTAACCTGTCGCCAAAAGAGATATAACTGATAGAGGTTTAGCTCTGTGCTCAATGTTTTTAATTACAGCCTCTATTTTGATAGGTGACAGTTACTGTTTCCATCTTTCCGATGGAGAATCTGAGGCTCAAGAGGTCAGGACTCCAGGAGTTGGGAAGGGAGGCAAAGATTTAAGAAGCTCAGGCAGGGTCTGAAAGGCTCCTTACCTTCAGGGAAAAAAAAAATTAAGTCTCAGTAAAAAAGAGAAAGTTCAATCAAGTGACAAGTTCCTCTTCTAGAGTCTCACCCCTTCCTTCCTGCAATTCTTGGCATGACTTTTGGGCCCGTCAGTGCATGGCAAAAGGCATGATTCATTTTGTGGGTAGATATACAAATTCCATGGGCCAGTGCATTTGTGGCTCTGTTTGCAAAGCTGTGATATTTCCGCAAGAGGTCAGGGTAAGGAGACACCAGGTCATTCAAACAGGATGAGGGGTAGGTGCATAAAGATGGAGAGATGCTTGGAGTAATCCTGCCAGCCCTAGGAGCCTCCTGCAGGCTTCACTGTTGGTGGGCAAGCTTTCTAATTCTGCTCTCAACCTGCCCTGGCCATGCCAGGGGCCGCTCTGGGCAGGGGAGGGTTAATGACCAACCTCCTTCAGAAAAGAAAAAGGCTCCGGTAACAAAACCCAACAGCACGGAGGGAAGAGACACAAGTTACCAGCCACAGAAGCTTAAAAAGGAACCCACCCACAGCTCCCGCTACAAATGCTTTTAGCCGCACGTTAAATCTTCTCTCTAATGGCACCCCCTGTTAAACGAGATATGTCACCCGACCTGAGGAGGCTGACTTGAAAGGCAAATAGTTGGAAGTGATTCCACACGTTATTAGTGAGAGCTATTCTCACATTTCCGGCAAAAATAATGGAGCCGAGGTCTGAAGGGATGACTAATACCTCCCCATTACTGACCCGAGGCCTGGCATTACATTGTAATCCTGGCCACGCAGTGACCCTTCAAGCCTCTTTCTTCAGTGCTTGTCCTCTGGGTTCTTTCTGCTGGTGGCCCTGGTCATGCTAACCTGGGCTCCAGCCTGCTGAAATGAAAAGGCTCCCCTTCACATCTCCTTGGGGGCAGGGGAGGAAGCAGGGGGCCACCTAGAGAAGAACTGACCTGTCTTGAGATTTGAATTTGTCCTCCGCTTCAAGAAAGGGCTGTGTCCAGCCTGTCCCAGACATGTAGGAATCTGCTCTGACCCTAATTTCATCCAGGATTCTATCATCTTCTTTAACAGCTTTTATGGGTGTTTTACAGGCCTTCCTGTCGGGAAATTCTTTGGGTTTAATCTTAAAGCTCTCCTGTTAAAATGTTAGCCTATGTCTCCTCCCACCCTGCCCACACCCCCCGCTTCAACAGAATAGGAGAATATTGGATTTAAAGACCTGAGAGAGGGAATTTAACAAGAGCCAAGATTTATAGAGGGCAGGTTATGTGCCTGTCCGGCTTCCCTTGTGCCTCAGCTGATAAAGAATCCACCTGCGGTGCAGGAGACCTGGGTTTGATCCTGGGTTAGGGGGATCCCCTGGAGAAGGGAAAGGCTACCAACTCCAGTACTATAGTCCACGGGGTCACAAAGAGTCGGACACGACTGAGCGACTAAGCACACATATATATGTGCCGGTCACTGTGTTGAATGCCTTGATACGCAGCAGATTAGGCCATGGCCTGAGTCACTGGTTGGGGTTGTTGTATCTGTCTAATGGATTTCTTTTTGCCCCTTGTTTCCCTTGACCTCTTGGTGATAGTTCACCCCCTTGATCTCTCTCTCTAGTTGAAGCACACTCTGCTCCTGTTCCCTGTGATGCTGTGTTCACTTGGATTCTTTCTCCTTCTTAGGGTCTTTGCCATCTCTTCTTTGGGCTCATCCTTCCCTGCCATCCCTACTCTTCAAGACTTGGCCCTTGTTTCTTCTGATTCCATACTCTATCCAAAGTTGATTTCCTGTGGGATTGGCCTCAGTCATCATCTCTGTGCACTGTCTCCCTCGTGGGCCTCCATTCCACACCTCTCTGTCTTCCCTGCAGCTGTCTTTCCAATGGTGTACTTGGAATTTCCACTTTGCTATCTCAGAGCTGCCTCTAACTCAACATTTTCAAAATTGGAATCCCTGTCTTCAGTCTTGGCCTCCCCCACTGTTCTCTTTCTACACGTGCAGAAAGGCTGGGATTCTGTCCACACAGGCTGGAAAACTGGGGCCCTCCTCCCCCTCTGAAACCATCATCCAATTGATCACCATGTCCTTGCTGATTTGACTCCCACATTATTTCTTTGTTTTCCTTTTCCCTTGACCAACACCTTTGGTGATGTAACCGCTGGTTACAGCTTCTGTACTTACCTCACACGGGCTGACCCTCCAGTCTGTTCTCCATCCTGTGGTCCAAGAGCAATTTTTTTGGCCATGCTGTCCTTCTAGGTTGAAATCTTGCATTGGTTTCCCATTGCTCCTAAATTGTAGATCATAATCCTTACCAAGGCTGTGCACAAGCTGGTCAGACTATTTCCTTGGTCTTATCATGCACTATTCTCCCCTCACCTCTCAAGTCACAGCATATGCTCTTCCCTCAGTTCCTTAATCCAGTCTTCCTCTTGCCCCAGAATTTTTGCACAGGCTGCTATTCTCCTGTTCGCCAAGCTAACCTTCTACTCCAGCTCTTGACCTTCATCAAATTTCCATGATCTCTCAGATCAGATGAGGTCTGTGCCATTCAGTCAGCTTTCTCCCAGTGTGTAGAACCACTCTGGCCCCTGTATTCCATTTGTTGGGTGACCTACCCCTTCATCATGCACTCAACCATCAGCCGTGAGGGTCACACCTCAGGTCTTCTCATGATGCCCTTATTTTCCTGGCTAGAAACGGGGAAGAGGCTACCTTATCAGTGATCAGGTGAAATCTCAGGCAAGTTAGGCATTTTCAGTCCCTATTTTGCACCTAGGGTGTGGGGCAATTTTCCCCTCTACAATTTTCCCTGCTGTCTGAATTCTTTCCTGAGTCTTGCGATCAGGCCTGGCTGTTCCCAACCAGTGCTTCTAGCACCCTGGATGCAGATGTTCAGATCCGTCCTATTGGAGTAAGAAAGGCTCGGAGGCTCGCCCTGCCTGGGGAGGCCACACACACTCCCCCCACTCTTCTGTACCTGTCCCCAGGACCTTTTGTCACCGTGGGGCCACTGGCTGGTAGGGTCCTCCAAGGACTATGCTGGCAGCCAAATTCTCCTTCTTGGCAAATTCTAGACTCCTTTTGCAGAATCTAAGTTGATTTATTTGTTCTCTTTAGAGCATTTACTTTCTTGTATATAAATATTAGGCTGTGGGGTTGGAACTCACGCTCTGCAGACAAGAGTGGTGACAGCCGCGACAGTGGGTTTATTTTTAAACAAAAATTGGGAAGTTACAAGGCTCCTGAGGTTTTCTGCATTTTTATTTTTCATTCAAAAGAAAAAAAAAAGGCAGGGGAGGAGAAAAGGATGGGGGTGGGGGTGGGGAAACATGGCCTGCGTTTCTGCTTCCATTCTTCAAGGCTTCCTGTTTTCATCTTTTTCCTGCCTCTGTTCCCTGGCATTTGGCGTCTCCATAAAGAAAGGGAAGGAGTGATTACTTCTGAGAAGGGAGTGGGGGATCTGTTCAAGCTGAGCATTAGGCATGCAGCCCCTGAGCAAGTCGCATGCATGGTAAAATATTACCTTAATAACACACTCGCAGAGAGCTATGTGTAAATGGTAACAGCTGCTTTTGTGATGACCGTGTTATAAATGATTGCAGCCCTGGTCATTAATAATGCATTTGAACAATAACAACTTGATTCCAAGGAGGAAGTACAGCCTTTCATTTTTCCCTGGCATGCGAATTCACTCTTGCTGTTGTGCAAAGTAACTGGACCCAAGGATTGAAGGCCCACACTAGGGCTTCAGAACCAAGAGGTTTTCAGCCCATTCCTGGCTCCCAGCCAGGGAAAACAGGGCTTCTGGACTCCACCGCACATTCTGCTACATTCACAGTGTTAACCCTGCAGCTGGCCTGCACCCTTTAAGCCTCTCTGCCTCCCCTTGGACCTCAAGCATGTGGAGCCTGCCACTCTGATGATAGCTCCAGGGTGGACCCCCACCAGGAGATATTAGGATCCTGGAAATTTCCCAGCAGGTGATGCTGATTACTCGAGGGTCACTTTTTTTTTTTCTTTTTTTAAACATGTCTGAGATTACTGTTCTGCCTGAAAGACAGTCTAAACTCTCGGATATCATGTTAGGAAACATCACAGTCCAGCTCTAAAGTTGGTCACATCTCCTGCTACTCTTATTTCACACTATTCTAATTGTTTCAAACTTCTCAGAGTTTCAAAAACATCCCCTTCTTTTTCAGGCCTTTGTACCTTGATGTTTGCTGTTCCCTCTATTCTATCTGTACAACTCCTACTCATCCTTCAAAACCCTGGAAGGATGCCCCCTTTCTCTACCTTCCCAGGGCAGGGTTAGTTGTTTCATCCTCTGTGATCTTATCTATACTGTAGAATTTTGCACAACTCTGGCATTAATCATACTACACATTGTAGTACTTTGTTTACACGTAGATTTTCTCCCTGAGCTTGGAGCTTATTAAGGGCAAGAAGTATGTGTTAGTATCTTTTACATCTCCATTCCCTACTGCAGTGCTCAGTAATCATTAAATATTTAATAAGCATTGAATGAAA